ACAGATGTAGAGTAGAGATACGGCTGTTTAGGTATTTGTCGGAGAGTTTTCTTGACTCGTTAGCTCGGATTTTGTTGCGACGATGATACTTTCGATGCTCTGATGATGTCCGTCATGTGACGTACCAAATCTTATCACCTTTTCACCGGAATCGAAGAAGATTGCCTCGAAAACAGCGTCAACAAGAATGCTCCAGGAAAGCCAATCGACAGCAGGTCAAGGGGGATCCGTCGCTGGTCGTCTTCTGGTGGAACCGAGCTTTGAATCTTTTCATCGCAGACTTTCACTCGAAATGAAAGTAAGCTGAACAAAGTTATATTTGCCACAATAGTGGACTGCACTACTTATTTCCGTTTATGAGTAGATTTTCATCTCATATACATAATCTACTGGTGGTCTGGAAATTCTATTTATACACAAAAAACAATTATGTTGCGCTTACTTCCATTTCAAGCGAAAGTGTTGAGTGAAGAGAGTCGAAGTTCGTTTCCACCAGAAGACGACGTCTGATTTCTCTTTTAATCACTTTGAGGCATCACTTTGGGTTTCGTGCATAAGCGAACACAAACATGCACATACAAAAGCAGAGAAAGACACACTTACAGGCATCGAAGTCGACATATGACCTCAACTAACCAAATCACTTTATACTTGATCAAAGAGGCCAGATGTACAGTATAGATACCACTTTTTAGGGATTAATCGGTGAGTTTTCTTGACTAGATAGCTTGAATTTGGTGATGACGATGATACCCTCGATGCTCTGATGATGTTCGTCATCGGAATCGAAAAAAATTGCCTCGGAAACAGCGTCAACAAGAATGCTCCAGCAAAGCCAATGGACAGCTGGTCAAAAGGAATCTGGCGTCGTCTTCTGGTGGAGTACAACTCTTTAACTCGAAATGAAAGCTGAACAAAATTATATTTGCCACAATAGTCGACTGCACTACTTATTTTCCTTTATGAGTAGATTTTTATCTCATATACATAATCTACTGGTGGTCTGGAAATTCTATTTATACACAAAAATCAATTATGTTGCGCTTACTTCCATTTCAAATGAAAGTGTTGAGTGAAGAGAGTCGAAGGTCATTTCCTTTAGAAGACGACGTCGGATTTCTCTTTTAATTACTTTGAGGCATCACTTCGGGTTTCGTGCATAAGCGAACACAAACATGCAGATAAAAATGCAGAGATAGACACACTGACATTCATCGAAGTCGACATATGACCTCAACTAACCAAACCACTTTATACTTGATCAAAGAGGCCAGATGTAGAGTATAGATACCACTTTTTAGGGATTTTTCAGTGAGTTTTCTTGACTCATTAGCTCGAATTTGGTTGTGACGATGATACCCTCGATGCTCTGATGATGTTCATCAAAGGGAATCTGGCGTCGTCTTTTGGTGGAACGCAACTCTTTCACTCGAAATGAAAGTAAGCTGAGCAAAGATATATTTGCCACAATAGTCGACTGCACTACTTATTTGTCGTCTATCAGTAGACTGTCGAGACTGCCAGTAAGTCAGTTATGAGATGAAATCTCGAAACCCTACTTCTAAGCGAAATGCATGCAAGCTTGGCAATACGTTTTCGCGGATCCACCACGAAAGGAGCATAGCGACTGTCTCTAAACTGCGGGAAAATGGGAAAATCCCTTGGCGTCTCCACTTACACGTGACGACGTAGCCAGATTTGGCTGTGACCAGCAGGTCCTCTCCACCCACGCGGCCCAGACCACTGACGATGGCCATCACGTGGATGAAGAGACTCAACTTGTTCCAGGAGCTGAGTCTCCACCAGAATTGCAGCTGTTCTCGCAGGTTCTCGCCATGCGTCTTGGTGATCTGAAAGAGACAGACCGTTCAAGAGGCAGAACTGGAGGCGAACAAGACCCGCCTGCTTGCGGAACACCTTCCAGAAGACGAACTTTCACTCTGTTTTCCCGTCAGTTCGGCTTGCTTAAGAGGATTTTTGAGAATGAGAGTTGACTTTTTCCACAATCGCATGACCAGTCTTCACGACCGCATCGAATGTCCGTCAGCACTGTCTCTCAAAGGATCAGGTGAAATGGAATGGGATCATGAGGCCGACTCATCTGATCGTGGAAAAGGTCAACTTTCTGTGATTTAATCGTCTTGAGCAGCCTCGGCTGACTAAGCTACCACTAAGGGGAATAAAAGTTCTTATTTGACCAGCTGCTAAGGTATGAATATGTCTCAATATCTTTGTCAATCCGTGCGTTGGTTTCTAGAAAGTAGACATTTTCGGGCTTCTGTAGATTCGAAGACAGGATTGCCAGTTAACTGGACTAAAGTGCTGTTGGAAAAATTCTCGTTTATCTGCACGAAGCACTACTTACAAACGAAAAATAAGTAGTCACTATAGAATGTGACCCGCCTCACTTGAAATTCCCATCCTTTCTGTGACCCAAGGCCGCTTGTGGCAGTCTGGCGTAGTTGGTACCATGTCGAAATTAAGCGCAGATTTTTATCACAACTCGGGTTCGAGTCCCGCCGGGGAAGCTGATGAGAATTGTGGTTATGTGAAATGTAGTGCGAAAATGAGGCGGACTCATCAGATTGTGGCAAAATTCGACTAATCTTCCTTCATCGCATCACACGAAATAGGGTGAACACATTTTATGTATCTGATTAACTGATAGTCTCTGAAACTTACTCAAAAGCGAAAAATAAAGTTGCTTAATTTACAGGCGATGAGAATCATTTGGTTAATCGAGAGCCAGGCTCTGCAAAGTGTTGCAAAGTGTACTTTAACAGGACTTTGAAGAGGGAGAAAATTGCTCTTTTGAGTCAGCTTTTTCCGGCTACAAATAGACGTCCGGCCTTGCCAAAAAGCCACAACGTTTCATACAATTCCCACTTCCCACAATCCTGTAAAATAGACGTTCAATCCGTCGTTGAGGTTGTTAGAGATTTCGAGAGTTTTTCTCTCTCTCTTTCCAAGATTACTTTTCGCTTCTTCTAACTTTTATGGGAAATAAATGCAAGTTTCATCTCAATCTGACGCAAGAGACACTCAAGTGCTCTACAAAATCTATTTAAACAAAAAATCCTGTATCTAATAGAAGTGGTTTGACCTCATTTCTGCAACTTGGTCGGGTTGCCAGAGCGACCTGGTTGGACGAACCTTGTCCGAAGTGGTCTGCTCTCGCAGTTAACATAATTCCCACTTCTCGACCGTGGAATTGGTACTTTCCCAGACGTTTCGTCAGTGAGCCCGGCCAGTTTCGGCACCGAACCGCAACTCGTCAAAAAGACAAATCAAGTCAATCCGTTTGCCCACTTTCTGGCCAACTCCTTTTTGCTCTCCCGACACTTCTGCTCACTCCAGCAAAGAACTTGCGTCCAACCAGGTCGCCCTGGCAACACGATCGAGACGCGAAAACGAGGTCAGACCACTTCTCTGCGTCGAAAGGAGACTGTGACCAAAATAGAGGGCACTGCATCCTGATCTTCCTGTAACATAATAATAGTTCGCGATGCGTATAAATTGTATACTTTCACTTTTTTCTTAGTCTTTTTGCTGAAACCGTCAGATTTTTACTTGTAGACTTTATGGTTAAATGTCAAAAAAGACTTTGTTAATGCACATGCGAATTGCCATACAGCAACAGGGCCCAGCTCTGTTGCTATGAGCAACATGATTTTGGTACAAATACAGTCCTGATGCTAATAATTTGGCACAGTTTGATTGACGTCAAGCGATGCAAATGTGTTTTGTAAAGATCTCTATTCTCCGTCGAGTTGAGTTAAACTATTTGCTGGATCAAGACGGCATGTAACAGAGCAAGGAAATTCTGAACTCATTTTCCAACAGAAAATTACCGCTTCTTTTGGGCCTTCGAGTCGATTCTGTCTGGCCCGTGATCCCAATTTCTGATCACTTAGCACCAGAATGGAGAGGAACTGGCGATTTGTATCACCCATTTGACTCTGGCCACACACTCCCGCAGTCACTGCCTTCTCAGAATTCGCGCATTCCGTCACCGGTTACTCTTCCTTGACCTTCATAATCAGCCCTAAACGACGTGTCCTGAAGCTCTCGACCCAGTTACGACATTGTCTAGTTCATGGTCTCCCAGTCTTTCTAAGCTACCAT